CTCTAAGAACGCAGAAGGACTGGGCTCTGGGAGCTTCCAGCAGCGGGACAGAAGGAGGTTCCTACAGGCCGTGCGTCTGGGGAGGGCGTAGAAGCTCCTCACCTCTTCCTGTCCCACCTGGCCCTAAGTGTGTCTGTCTGTACCTCCACAGTATCCTTTACAATAAATAGGTAATAAGTGTTTCCGGGTTCTGTGAGTCACTCTAGCAAATGAGTCAAACTCAGGAGGAGGTAGTGGGAACTGCAACTTACAGCCACCTGGCCAGAGAACAGGTAACAAACTTATTACTTGTGACTGGCTCTGAAGTTGGGGGACTGAGCCCTCAACCAGAGGGGTCTGCTACTATCTCCAGGTAGATAACGACAGAGTTGAATTGAAAGAGAGGACACCCCACCTAGTTCACTGCAGAATTGCCTGCTTGGTGTATAGGGTTTGGTCATATAAGTGTTTGCGCTGGAGAAGAGTAAAAATTGAGTTGATTTTTTTTCCCTTTATGTCTCAACAATCCAAATTTAGGAGAGTATGACACTGTGCTAAAGCAAAGAGAAAATGCTCACTCCACGTTCCAAGCTGTATGGGAAGGCAGTGTAGTTAAAATTACTTGATAAACTTTTTACCTATAAAAGCACTTTAATTTGCAATGTTTCTAATTATTTAAATTACAGTGTGCTAATTAAATATTAGTTCTATTATTTTTTTACTTCCCTATACATTCATAAATAAGACTATTTTAAACATTCTGACAAACATTTTTAAAGGTCACAAAATAATAACTTTCTCCATTAAATATCAAGAATGACAACGTGGTTTCCATTTGCAGAGATATCTTCATTACAATGAAAAGCAGGACTGCTATATTTAAAATTAACACAGTAAGTGTGCCATTTGAGAAATTAGGAAAAGAATAAGAGTGACCTCAAAGACAGAGATCCATGAAACAGAAAACAAAGATACAATGGAGAGAACTGAACAGCTGTCTCAAGAATAATCAAGGAAAGAGCTGGAGGTGCAGCTTGGGGCAGAGTATTGGCTAGGATGTGAGGCCCTGGGCTCCCTCCCCAGTTAAAAAAAAAAAAATCAAGGAAAAGTGCATATTCTTACAAATTCACATCACCTGCTTTATAGAGGAGAGTAATGCTGATGAAAAAAAATTGATGTTGCTTTGAAATTCTCAACTAATTGTGAGACTGTGGACCAGCACTGGGGTGTCTTTGGTCTTTGATACTCTGGATGCCACAGGCTCACTGCCTCATCCGTCTTCAGGCTGTGGCCATCCGTCCTTTATGCCTGGCCGGCCCACTAATAAAGCTCAAGGTTGCACCACAGTTGACAGCAGCAATGCAGGCCCAGGTGGCCCACTCCCTAGCCGTCCAAGGGGAAAGTAAAACGCACAGGGCCTCACTCCTGGGTCCTCCTTGGGCTCCTGGGCAGGGTGTGCTCTCCACCAGGTGCACAGATGCCTGCTCAGCTCCAGGGTGGCTGCCTCTGCAAGCCTTGCTCCACCTTGCTTGGCTGGGAAGCACATGCTGGGGATAAGAGAGTCCAGGTGGTCACCCCTGCAGGCTATTTCTTACACCCCAAACTTGGTGACCATCATGTTATCACCTCCCAGAGGGATGCTGCACCTGTGCACAATCTGGAGAAATTCATTGAGGGGGGGAGGCTGGGGGGAATGAGGTGGTGGACCCACAGCTCGGTGTGGCCGATATCTCTGGAATCTCCCTTCTCCTTGACCCCCAGACATCTGGTGCTTATGGTCAAGACCCTAGTGAGATCATTTCTACGGACACTGGTCATTGCCAATCACCACACCTGCTGGCCCCAATCTGCCATTAACAACAAACAACCTGTCATTTTCCTTCTCAAAAAGACCTCCATCACTGGGACTCCATATTCTTCCTCTTCAGTGACCTTTCCCGGCTGGCCTCTCCTCTTCCCCTGGCCTCAGCGAAGTGCTCCAGAGTTCGAGGGTGAAGAACTCTGAGTACCGGCGACCCAGGTGGGGCGAGCCGCTGGCTCTGGAGCCTCACTGTGAGGCCACGCCACAGCTGCCTCCACTCCACCCCCAGGGCCGCGGCGAGAACTGAAGGCCAGCGCTGCCCGCAGAGGATACTGGGCCCCGCGCAGAGCAAGCACTTGGCCGCTGTTCCTGCTGCCTCGGATCGCAAGCCAGCTGGGGCCACTCACAGGAAAAAGCGGCTTCAGCAAGCGCAGGCGCACTGCGTGAGGTCGCTGCTGTCCCAGAGCGCAGGGACCCATAGCAGCAGCCAGTGGAGAGGGTGGCATGAGGAAGATGTGCGCTCATGAGGACAAGTCCAGGAGGCTTGGGGAAAGCCCGAGGGCGGAGGACACAGAGCTGCTCATGCCCTGCTGCCTCCGCACTAGAATTCCTGCTTCCACACAGAGCAGACCAGGAAGGACCGCCATGGCCTTCTGGAGGAAGTAACGCACCCCCCAGCCACATGGGAGAAAAATGTCACCCAACCAGACACACGCAGAGCTCAGAAGCGCAAGGTCCTGCTAGAGGGCATGCTGGTGTAGCTCCTTTCCTTCCATCAGAAGCTGTTGAAACAGACCTTTCATGCCAGACGCCTGATGTGGGGCCATCACCAGGCCATCTCCTAACAGCTGTGCCCTCTCCTCCCTGGCATTCCTTGGCTAACATGCCAGGGAAGGCTTTCTGGGAGCTGGGCGTGGGTGTGTGATCCAAACTGGAAGATGAGACCCGAGGGGTTGTGTGCTGGGGCTTCTGGGCAAAGGTTTCCTCCTTTGTAAAAGAGTACATCTGAGAAGAAATCCCCTTTCCTGCTTTTGGAGAATATAGGAAGAGAGGTGATGCTCAGACTGGCAGCCATCTTAGTACCATGAATGAGGAAATGGGCATGACGCTGAGGATAAGGATAATCTAGGTTCCCCAGATTAACTGGGAACCTGTTACTCCTGGCCTTATGTGGAACAAGCAGCATGCTGTTGCTTAAATCATTGTTGGCTGTATACTTTGTTACTTTTAGGCAAAAGGATCCTAAATTATTCACAGAGCAATGGGAGAACTAATGTCAGCTGGAATGTGTAAATGGGAATATCCACAGCTAGAAATCAGCCATGGTTCTGCGGCAGCTCTGGCTTTACTAGTGGACTTCAACCCAAAAGACACAGTGAGGGACCGGGACTGTAGCTCAGTGGTAGAGCGTGTGCCTGGCATGTGTGAGACACTGGGTTCAATCCTCAACACCAGAGAACAATAAATAAAGGTATATAAAACAAAGAACACTATTAAAATAAAAAAAAGACACAGTGAATGAAAGTTTATAAGATTTACAATCAAACTATGAGCACCAACACTGAAAGGCAGGAATAACCACACAATAAAATCTTCTTGGAAAACAAGAAAAATGTGTGTACCTTTTCCACTTTTTTTTAAATTAGTTGCCACTACTCTTCTATATAGGGAATTTAAACAGATGCAGGATGGTATTTTAGTCTAAAATTTCATTCACAACGAAATGAAAACTTGCAAGTCAAAAGAAGTTAATATCAGCCTCCCAATCATCATCTCCATACTGATGTGCTATTTTATCCTGGAACTGTTGTAGCCCCGTGGAAAGCTAGTAACTGTGAGGCCGTGCATACAAGCAAAAGGATATCTTGAAACAAAAAACGTGAAGACAAAGTTATTTCCATTCCCTCTGAATAAGCCACACATCCACATGAAAGAAACTTCGCCATCAAAACATCTTCCTTACTGAAACTGGAGTTTCAAGCCTTGTTTATAACAACACTGTTGCTGTGGAAATAGTTGATTCACAGCTGGATAAAGCAAGGTGTGGAGCCGAAGTCTTATTTAAACAGTGGCAGGACCCATAAAACATTAAAAAGGCACCCTGAATGGCAGTGAGTCAAAGTGCCATATGTTGTAATGTAAGGGTCACACTTGTTTTTTTTCCCCTGATGACACAAATGGGACGTTTCTTATTAATTTCGCCCTGTCTGGAACCTTACAATCATCCTACCTATTCCCCCAAATGTCCTGGGTTTTTTGTCTGTGTGTTGTTAGCTGCGGGTGCTGGAGCGGTGCCCCAGGTCAGTCCCTAGAGCGCTCAAGCTAGGGTCCAGCCACCGTGCACAGCTGCATGAGGCCCCATCACACTGGCTGCAGCTCACCTGTGCACCTACAGCTTAAGGAAGCGCCAGAAATCATGAGCCCAGACGGACTTCGCCCAGCTGGCCCCACTCCATGGTGGCCGCTGATGGTAAGGGTTTCGAAACCACCTTGAAGGCCCTCAGGACTCGGGGCCACTGGGCTGGGCTGACTTTGGGACCCTGCGCTCCTCTGCTTTTCCTCCCCATGTCCCAGACACTTCTTCAAACCCACAGACCCCTCTTTCCTGTCCTTTCCTTCTGGTTTTCTGAATGTTTCCAAACACTCTGAGGCTGAAATCTTACCCCTCATACAATAAAACACACTCGACTGTTTTGAAAATGAGGGCGACGTTCCGGGCTATAAAAAAACGGACCTTTCTTGGCAGCGATGGCAACAGCCAAGTGGCTCTGTAAATAGAAACCCGCTCCCCCGCCTGCGGCCCAGGGTGTGGCCACACTCCACCGCTGCACAGGAGATCGATTCATACCAGCAGAACCGGAAAAGTCACCACCGAAAGCCACCGTGGAAGCTGCAAGAGCCAAAAGTGCCACGCAGAGCCCGTTTCCCTCGGTGACTCAGGAAGCACTCCTGCCAGGCCGCGGCTCGCCCACCTCTTGAGGCTCAGAATGTAGGTCAGGCTCCAGGCTCGAACCTCGGGCCAGGGTGAGAGGCCAGAGCAGGAGCCAGGATTCCCCGGCTGCAGGGAAGCCCCTCTGCTCAGCCGGGCTTTGGGCCTAGCCTGCCCTCCACTGAGCCTCTGCTGCCACAGGCCATGGAGTGCCCGCAGCCACCCTGTACCTTCTCATCAGGGTGTCCAGGATGACAAGTTAGGTTTCTGAATAATGGATGGTTGGCTCACCCAGCTCGGTGGACACCAGAGACCCGGTGGCAATTTCCCCCATCTTGGCCACTCCATCGTAGTAGGCTTTTCCTGCGAGGATCATAGCTAGACAGCAAAGGGAACACACAAAATCGTCACTTAGACAAGGAAAGGAGGAACTGACACAAATTTCCTTTCAAACATCCCAGGTCCCTCCTGGCTATGGCAAATGTGGCCTGGAGGCGGGACTCATGCCTGATGGCTGTGCTGGTGGCCTCTGCCCACAGCAGAGCCCCATCAGATCCTCACCTGGGACCAGCCCAGGAAACTTCAGCAACAGGAGCCAGAGGTCCAGAGAAGGCCCTAGCCACTCCTAGTACCAGTTCCAGAGCAGATGTGCCCGACACCCAATCAGGATTGGGAACACACCTACTCCAGCGAAAACTCTTTTCCCAGATGGTTATTCTATAGCACTACGGGTCAGCAACATTATTAGTTAGGAGGACTTGAGTGGGGAGTCTAAGAACCTGGTCCTTTGATGGTACGGTTTTTTTCCTATTAAAAAAAGACATTTGAAATCACAAAGAGCCAGCATATTTGCTACCAGGGGAAACCTATGAAATTTGAAATATAGTAGCACCCCCCCAAAAAAAAACAGAATTATTTAGGGGGGAGAACCCAACAAAACAAAATGCTCCTCCTCCCTTTTTGGCAGAAACAGAAAAATGTTTATTGCCATATGAGCTGGGTTCTAATTATTTTAAAAACATTTCCCCCTTCAAACTGATTTTGAAGACTAAACTATGACTCCATGACTTCTGTGGACAAGTTGCATATCCTTTCTGAAATGAGGTTGTTCATCCATAAAATGCCCTAATGACGAGAGTGATCGATGAAAAAATGGCAGCTGCTTCCTGGGCCCAGGGGCCCACACCTGTAGCATCAGCTCCTCAGGAGGCTGAAGCAGGAGGATTGCAAGTTTGAGACCAGCCTGGGCAACTCAATAAGACCCTGTCTTGAAATTAAAAATTTCTACCCAGGGCCAGGCAGGTAGCTCAGTGGTTCAGCTTTCCTGGGTTCAGTCTTTAGGACAGAGGAGGGGGAAACGTGGCTGCCGGTGACAGGGGCCACAGCAAGTGCAGCTTAAGAAGGAAGGTGCTCGACAAGCCGGCCTTGCCACGATACCTTGTAGGTAGGGTGATTTTGGAGAAAATCATTTATTTTACTTTAATATAAAGATTAGTTTCATACATAGAAACTGGCTTCTCCTGTAGCTTTAGGTATGGCAGGATTTTAGAACCCAAAGGACCCCCTGTCCAGTCACCGCCTTTATCGAGAGGACAACGAGAGGGTATCCCAGCTGCTTTGCCTACTTCATAACCAGCATGTTCTTAAAGAGTGGATTTAAAAATATATATGTATTAAATGTAAAGATGGCTATATTCTATTTTTGAAGAAAACAAAACCAGATGCATATCAAAGACACAATGACCACAGTTGTATCAACATCTACATTTGTGTAACTATTCTAAAGATAGCTGGGAAAGGCCCTAGTAAAAATGTTAAAGTTGTTAAAAAAATTATACATATATATATACATATATATATATATACACACATATATATATATATATATATTTTTTTTAAATTAGTTGTTGATGAATTTTTAAAAAATTTATTTGTATGCGGTGCTGAGATTTGAACCCAGGGCATCACACATGCTAGGCACGCAGTCTGCCACTGAGCCACCCACGGGGGTAGGTATAGCTCAGTTGGTAGAGCACTTGCCTCAAATGCACAAAGTCCTGGGTTCGATCCCCAGCACCACCACCCCTACACACATGGTAGGAGGGGGCGGAGAGTTACATCAGGTCCAGCTGAAGGCCAAAACAAATAACCCAATTTTATGACAAATTTATCTGTTACTATAGACATTTAAAAATTTTAAGTTACAGCATTCACTATGTCTGTACAGAAGTTCAGGAAATGCAGTGTTCTGCTGTACAATTATTTTATATGACTGGGGATAAACTTAAAGCATAATTACAAAAAGAACAATAGCAATTACCATTTATATGACTTTTCAAGCCATTACTTGGTTAATCTACCCTATAATGTCAATGGGAATGTTATCAGCCTCTCTTGTGAAGGGGAGTGGGGTGAGATATCCTTGGAGGTCCCCAAGGTCAGCGGTGAGTCAGAGACAGCCACACAGCTCCAACTCCACTTCCTCAGGCCTAAACTGTGGTGCTTTTTGACTCTCTGGTCTTAGATGGGATGAGAAAACAGTGACTCTACCTCAAAACATGGTGCATGACCAGTAAACTGTCAAGTTAATATATGTATTTTAGAATGAAGATTTTAAATTGTAAAGTACTGATAAGCTGAAAAGCCAGTTAGTGGGAGAACGGCATGCAGGATTGCACAATATTTAAACAAAATTTCTGGTTTGCATCCCCGTGTGAAATCAAAAAATTTCATTAACTGTTGACTTACATTTAAAGCCATGTAATCTTTTTAGTCTTAAAAAAATATATTTGCTTTTATGATAAAATTAACTTTAAAATTATATAACTCAATGGGCACAGTGGTGCACGCCTGTAATCCTAGTGGCTCGGGATACTGAGGCAGAAGGATCACAAGTTCAAAGCCAACCTCAGCAACCTGTCTCTAGATAAAATATATAGAAGGGCTGGAGATGTGGCTGTTTGGTGGTTAAGTACCCCTTGTTTCAATCCTCAGTGCAAAAAAATATCTATATTATAAAATTTTATATATATTATAAAATTATGTATATAATAAATGTATCTAGAACTAATAATAAAACATTTTAATAATTTTGCCTCCTTTTGGGAACACAATTCTTATTGTGTTTCTACTAACTGTTTAAGGAATGAGGCATATTTGTTCCACTTTTGTGGCTGGTAAACTATTTCATCAAACTAGATAAACTACATACATACCTCTAACAGCTAAGTTTTCCTTAAAATAGTTTTGTTGAGTTACTTGCCCTGTTCAAAAGCCTTTAATGGCCTCCCTTGGCCAGTACGGTAAACCCATGCTCCCTGGAGATCATGGTAGATTTTTACTGTAATGGCCTTCAATGAACCACACCTCCCAGAATTCCATCTGTGTGTGGTTCCCAGCCACACTGAAGGTAGGTTGGCCATGTGACTTGCTTGCTTTGACCAGTGTGGCATCGACAAGCACCAGAGATGCTTGATTGGTGCTAGGTATTGGTGCGTATACTCTCGGGACACCACCGCTGTGGTGTGAGGACCCAGTGTGGTCTCACTGAAGGGAAAGACCTCGTGAGGAGAGAGCTAGCCCAGTTCCCAGCCTTGATCTGGGGCTCAGCGGATTGCAGCTGCAGAAGTGAGTTCCAGGTGTCTGAGAACTGTCCTGCCTTCACAGAAGAAATCACAAACTGCTGTCCAAAGCCACAAGTCTGAGGACAGCTTGTTGTACAGCAACGGTGACTATGGTGCATTCAAATGCATACACAAGCCAGCCCTTCCACCTATTCCGCACCAGCCACACCCAGGCCGGCTGGACCCAGGGTTTGGCCTGGACACTGTTTTTCTGAGTGACACTTCGGGCGCCTGCTGGAGTTCAACATCTGTTGGCCAGCGCAGCTCCCGCATGGCCTCCTGCCTGCTCCAGTCCACAGCAGCCCCCCGCTGACCAGCCTCCTGGGACACGGTGTCCACACAGCTCTTATTCATTCAGTGTTCTCCACTTTATAATCAGCTGACTACACATCTGGCCGGCATCCTCAACTCTACACCAAATCCCCACCAACAATTTTATAAATATTTAAATTTCTCAGTGGCTTTGGCAAAACTACGGCCAGATGGACTGCAGAAACTCGGGGAATGCTTGTGAATTAGAGAATCTTCTCCAGGAGGTGTTAAAGTGAGAAGTCTTGCTGGCAGCACGCCACGCTGTGGGCAGCTCCCTGACCTGCCTTGCAATTCCGCTTCAGAGAGGCAGGGGAAAAAAACACCCCCCCTCTGTGGGCCACAGTGATCTCCTTCACAAGGACGTCTACAGCAATGACTCTGGGGCTTGTGATTAAGCAACCACCCAGGGAGAGACAGCAATGCCAGGCAGGCTCTTGCCCTCTGAAGGGGGTAAGGCGCCTGCAGACGGCACTGAGGCTGGGGGTCAGGGAGCCGGGGGTCCCCGACCTGCTGCCCTTCCTGACACTGAAAGTGTCAGGCAAAGCAAGCTCAGTGACAAAGTAAGGAAGCAGTTTCCTTCTCTGATGACTACAGCAACAATGCTCCCTGTCACACCCACAGTCCAGCCAGCACATCCCCCTTTCCTGGGCTGCCTCTGCTAAGGGACACAGGCCACAGGTTTATTTTTGAAATATCAACAGGGAGCATGGTGGGGTGTGGCGGAAGAGAGAAGGAAGGGGTAAGTTAAAAGCCACTTGATCTGAAGTGGCTGAAACTTGATCTGAAGACTTCTTCAGATTTAAACCACTGGAAACTAAAGTTTTTACTTATGTTTCTTGACGGCCCTGGTGAACCAGGGTAGGTGGTGAACCCAGAGTGTGGGTATTTGGGATGGGTGGGTAACACCAGCCATACAGGAAGAATTGTCTTGACCATGTCAGAATGTGGTGATTGTCAGCGCCTTAAGATCTTAAGATGATTATGCTTGAATTATAATAGCATCTATTTTTTAGCAGGGAAACACATGCTTACCTGCATATCAGTTTTCTCAATGAAACTTTGAGTTTGTGAACAACTCTAGTTCACAGAGAGGCAAATGTCAACACTCAAGTTTATTTTTAAATGAATGAGAAGATTGTTTATTTTGAAATGAGAATCTAAATCCAAACTCTGTATGTTTTTCCATTTGGACTAAAACTACTAGTTCTCATGTTATTTCCAAAAGTGCTACATTTAAAGGCAAGAAAATCTTTGATATTAAAAAAAGCAGAAAAATTCCTGTGTGCAGGACATGAACATGCATAATGTTTTAAATACACACTTTATATGTTTATTAGTCCACGGAGAATTTGGTTTAAAAAGGAAAAAACACACTGAGGGCAATGATGTAGAAGACTGAGCCATGTCAACCAAGCCCGATTTGAAGGTTAAAATGAGCCGGCAGTCGCTGCATTCCAGTTCAACTCGCTCATTTCAAACACACTAAAGTCATCGTGCACTATCACTGCACAGTTTTGTAGATTCAATTAATTTTGCCATTTAAAATTGTTTTAAACATTCAATGTTAAGCATTTAAAAATAAGTAAACTATTTACTGAATAACTTTTACATGGGCTTTACATTGATCAATGTAGAAAAACAGACTTACCATTAACAGCTTTTTCATAATTTTTTCCTAGGTTTATTAAATTTCGTAGTCCCGGGTTAAACTGTTCCATAACATTCTGACAAACAAACAAACAAAGCAAAAAAATTAATAAACAGTAGACCAAGCAATCTTCAGATTTTGCCACTGTGTGGCCTTGGATACCTGTGTATGCTTACCAGTCGCGCCCCCAAAGTCACGCATATGGACTTAAAAATCATGAAGAGCCCATTATTTCTTACCTGATGGAGCAGGTGGCAAGGCGTGTGTAACCCTGGCCGTTCTCACCTGTGCAAGGGCTGCCTGGAACCTACTATAAACGGAGCAAGCAGACAGCATTCACAAGCCTGCCATGCCCCACGGGACTGTGGCCCAGAGGCGAGGGTGCCCTCTTGGGTGTAAGTGGATTGCTAATCGCTGTCACTCTAGTGTGAAGAGACGGGCTTCAGCTGCTCAACCCGCTACCTGAACTTCATTCACAGTCAAGGGCAGTGTTTGGGCTGCCCCATGAATAGAACCTTCCAGGACAGCCTGAAAGACAGGCAGATGACCTCTGCGGCATGGACTTTATGAGGGGAGGACAGGGGCACTGTATTTGGTCCATCTGGGAACAATGAGCTACACAGCATTGACCATCCCATGTGGACCAGGGGAATCTCTCTGCCTCTTCTCCCCAGGTGTGTACTACCCGACGTTCATCCGGGACAGATTCTTCACACCCTACAGAAGTAAAAGGTTCTCGATTGCTACCGGGAACAGAGAGCTCGTGGAGACTGACAGTCACCGAGCAGTGACCAGCTCGCCTCAGCCTTCCACATCCTCACCCTTCGCTCCAGAATGCTTCCAGCCAAGCGTCTTTTCTCCTGCATGTCACCAGAGTCCAGAACGTTTTGATTTCCCAATTTTAGACAGTAACTGGCTTCTTCCTACAGTCCACGAGGACCTAGCTCTCCACACCACTCTACTCTCCCTCTCTCAGTCCTTCTAGATAATCACATGGCAATGTTCTGGTGAATCAATAGTCAGAGCTTAATATGACTTTATAAATATTGGTCACTATTGAAGAATGCACTAAAGATTACATTTCTTGGTGAAGCCGTTTTCTTATTTCTGAGATCAATAATTGTCTGATTCTTACCCCTGCCTGCCATGCTCCGTTTTCTAGGTATCTTCAGCTCTCCCCCATGCTGTCTAGCAAAGACGTACCAACACTGTTTCTAAATATATAAAACTGTCAGCTAACCTTCCATTCCATTCCCCCCAGAGCCCCTCCAAGGACTCTGTCCTCCTGCTCAGCCTGTCCCCCTGTGGCCTTGCGTGTCCTTCTCTGGTTGCCTGGGTTAAGAGCTCTCATTACCTGGGTCCACACCCTCCTCCCCTCCTTTCTCCAGGAGAACAGTCTCTACAACTGATCTAAGAAATGTTGTGCGAGAGGTAAGTTCGTGTCCCATGTGTCTGAAATTACCTTTATCTTTCTGTTTGGAGTGTAATAAGAAGCCTGAACAACTTTCCTTACATTTTAAAGATCCAGCTCTGGTCTTTAGCATTTTAAAAAAATTTTTAATGCGTTCTTTTTAGTTATACGTGACAATTGAGGGTATTTTGACATATTATATACACGTGGAGTATAACTTTCCATTCTTGTGGTTGTACATGGTATGGAGTTTCACTGATCATGTATTCATATATGAACATAGGAAAGTTATATCTGATTCATTCTGTCTTTCCTATTCTCCCTCCCTTTCCTTCATTCCTCTTTGTCTAATCAAAGACCTTCTATTCTCCCCCACCCCTTTATTGTGTGTTAGCATCCACATGCATTTCAGAGACTATTGGCCTCTGTTTTTTTCAGGATCGGTTTATCTCACTTAGCATGACAGTCTCCAGTTCCATCATTTACCAGAAAATGCCATGATTTCATTCTTCTTTATGGCTGAGTAATATTCCACCATCTACATATACACACACATTCTCTTTATCTATTCATCTATTGAAGGGTACGTAGGTTGGTTCAATAACTTAGCTACTGTGAATTGAGCTGCTATAAACATTGATGTGGCCATGCCACTACAGTATGCGGATTTTAAGTCCTTTTGGTATATAGCATTCAGTTTTGCTACTGAGAAGTCATCTGTCATTTCCTCTGTGTCTTTTGTCTCCTCTTAAAGCTTACTTCTGGAAGCCACTTCTTTATCCCTATGTTGTAAAACCGAATACTGTTCTGCCTCAGTGTGGGTGTTTTTCCATTTATTTTACTGGACACTGGGGATGTTAGCCATAAGGAAAATCAAATCCTCTAAGTCTGGAAAATATTCCTGGTCTTATTTGTCTTATTCTTTCTGGAACTCTGATGAGGATTTTACACAACCTGGATTTATTCTCTAATCATTTTATCTTCTCTCTGACTTTCCCCTTTGTTTTTATGTTCTACATCTGACGAATATCCTCAACTTTATGTTCCAACTCTTACAGTACTTTTAAGCTATGTTGTCATATTTGAAGTTTCTAAGAGTACTTTAAAGTTCCTTGCCTGGTCCTTTTATAAAGCACCCTCCCAATCTTGGTTTATGACTGTGGTATCTTCTCTTATCTGAATAACAGTGGACTGTTCCCCACATCATCTCCTGATTACTGTCCCCATTGTTTACTGTCCCTCTAGCTCTGGGGTCCTCCATGGCCAGTTCACGTTGGGAATAAAGCCCTCACTCACTCATCAGCAGGGAGCTGTGCACGCCTGTGGGTCAGCCACAGACAGCAGCCGGGACCACTTGGCTTCTCCACAGAAGATTCTGGTTTCCTCTCCTTGGGTGGGAAGTGGGGATTGGCTGACTGAGAACCCTGCTCATCCTAAGCCGATTTGTTCCAATTTTTTTTTTTTTTGGTCGGGGTCGAACCCAGGGCTTTGTGAATGTAAGGCAGACGCTTTGCCACTGAGCTACATTCCAGCCCATATCTTAATTTTTTTATTTTTTATGTGGTGCTGAGGATTGAATCCAGTGCCTCACGTGTGCCCGGCAAGCGCTTTACCTCTGAGCCACAACCCCAGCCCCATGTTCCAAGTTTTACCCCTGGTGTTTCCAGACCAGCGCTCTCGGCTCCAGATTTGAGATTAACTTTCTGGTCGGTCAGGCAGAGGAGCTATTGCTGCGGTGGGCAGGAAGGAAGGGGACCTGGGAGGC